GGGGTATAATGGTGTAATGGAAAGAAGTGGTGTAGGAGCCAGAACACCTCATTCCTAGGCCCATTTCTACCACAATTCGGTTATGGGACCTTGGGCATGTCATTACAGATATGGAAAACATCTCAGAAACCATCTTAGAGATGACCTAAGGGCCCTGTAATCTGTATTTACACTCTAGGGCTTGGGCTATTGTTTTTGATGGGGGCTGAGAGTTGGGGTAGATGAGGAAAGGAGGCAGGAGAAAAAATTAGAAGGTTTACTTGTTTATATTAAGTATCTTACATGGAAGATGTTGAAATGAAAACAGAATCATAATTAAGAAGCTTTGGGAGATACAGAAAAGACCTGTCCTTACCCTCAGAAAAATTACAATGTAGCTCCTGAGATAAAATAAACAGAAGAAGGAAATTTTCTTCGGTCAAGAAAGTCCAATCTCCCACCATAGATATATATACATATATAGAGATACACACATACACACATACACACATACACACACACACACACACACACACACACACACACACACACACACACACACCTGATATTCTCATGATTTTCTCACCTCTACCTGAATACCTCCAATCACATGATATTTACTCCTTCACAAGTCAGCCCATTTAATTGTTGGAAAACAAATTCTAAAGTTCCTTCTAATGCTAAGTGAAAATCAAATCAATTTCCTTCACAAATGTTGGCCCTGGTTCTGCACTCTAGTTTCACAAAATATGTTAACCCTTCTTCCTCAATCAAATCATAAAATATTTGAAAAGGACTACTCCATTCCACTCCTGCCACCCATTCCCAAGCCAGGTTAAACACCAAACTTCTTTCAACCCTTCATTTGGCATGGTTTCCAGAATGATCATTGGCTAAGTCTCCCTGACTCTGGTTTGGCAGAGCAACTTTTAACATATGGCACCAAAAATGGAACACAACTGGCCAACATGGTGAAACCCCGTCTCTACTAAAAATATAAAAACTAGCTGGGCGTGGTGGCACGTGCCTGTAGTCCCAGCTACTCAGGAGGCTGAGGCAGGAGAATTGCTTGAACCCAGGACGCGGAGGTTGCAGTGAGCCGAGATCCCGCCACTGCACTCCAGCCTGGCACCTGGTGACAAAGTAAGATTCTGTCTAAGAAAAAGAAAAAAAAAAAAGGAACACAACATTCCAAGTCGGACAATTCAACCCTATTCAAAGAAACATTTATTGAGTGCCTTCTGTGCTCCAGACTAATATTTTTCTTGATCTTGACTACAGTTCTATTGACCACACTATCCCTAAAATCACATTAGCATTGTTTATTTTAGTCCATTTCATACCATCAGGATTAAAACAAGACAAGATTATCTTATCCAAATCATCAGTTTACTCCTCTGCTGCCAGTTCTATAGACATCATAGCATAATGGGACAATCAAAAGTTTTGAGCCCTTTGAACTTGTGTGGACCATTATTTACTAGAAGAGTGACCTAATACTGGGACTTGCAACTTTTCATCCAACTCTCTCTCTGATAAAAATAAATTTAAAAAGGCAAAGCCAATGACAGATTTGTGTGGCACATAAGACTATCCTCTAGATTGACGATCCACCAATCCCATTAAAGAGTGATTGCCTGTTATGCTTCAGGAATGGAAGGTGAGATGGTCTAATTAGTGAAGGAAAAGAAAAGAGAAGCACTAAACCTGTGCCAGGCACTTAATATACATTACTTCATTTCATAATAATCTTGTAAGATAGTCATATTGTCTTCACAGAGAAAGAAATCAAGGAATTGAGAAAGCAAGGTTTCTAAGATCACACCAGTAAGAATGGAAGAGCTGGAATCAAATACAGTTCTCTCACTCCTATTACCAACCATTACATGGTGAGATTTGAGCGTGGGAAGAGGTATGGTCAAGATGGATTGCTGGGCTAGTGGAGGCAGGAGAGAGTATGCAGGATAGCACAAGTAGTGTGAAGCAAGAAATAAAGCCAGAAAGATTAAGTTGAAGCCAAATTACAAAGGTCTTGAATTCTATACTAGCAAGTTTGGAATTCAATCTGTAAGTTATTAAAAATCAACCCCTGCTGCTTATGTTTAGTGAACCAGTTCAAATATTTGAAAACTAATTTCACAGATAATGAAAAGGTCTTTGGAGACAAAGCACTATAAGTGGAGCATGTGTTGAGGTTTTTATTTTAGATAGGGTTGTTAGGGAAGGCTTTCTAAACAGAAGGAATTTAAGTCAGGGAGAAAGTAATACAGATATCTCAGAGAAGAGCATGCCAAGTTGAAAGACCCTGAGTATATTTGGCATATGCATGCTTGAGAAACATAAAGAAGTCAGTCAGATTGGAAAGTAAGTAGGAAATATAGATCAAGAGATAACAAGAGCCTAATCATATAGGATTCTGGATTTTATTCTTAGTGTAATGAGAAGTCCCTAGACAGGGATTTGAACAGAGCAGGAAGTAACATGATTCAATTTATTATTTTTAGAATACTTTACGGAAATCAGAATACATTAATTTATGGTTCCCTAAAATTCCAATCTATAACTATCAAAAAGAAAAGAAAGAGAGAGAGAGATTAGTTTGGCATACTTATTTACTCTCAGTAAACCTACACTGGCTTCCAATTCTTAGCTAAGTGCTTACAAACCAAACCTTACTAATCTGTTCTAGAATTTTGCCAGACACTTGGCTTGAGAATACACCATTCCTTCTCCTTCCTGCCCCAGATTATTTTTGAAAACGCATGACAACATTTTCTCTTCTTTTATCTTGTAACGTGAAGAACAGGTAATTAATAGTAGACTGGGTGATCCTGAATGTAGATGCAAAAGGAACTCAAAAAAATAAAAATAAAAATAAAAAAGAGGCGGCAAAAACTGAAGGATTTGGAGAGATAAAAAACAGGAAAAAGGCAGCCCGGGTAAGTGCATGGGACACACGAAGGGGTCAAACTTCAGGTCTTGCTCAGGATGAATAAAAACATGTTTACATAGATAGAATTCAATAGAAATCACAGTCATATCACCTAAAGTCTGAAAGAAAACAGAAAAATGGTAATGTCTATTCTGACTGGATGGCGGGATTATCACAATTTTGGTAAACTGTTTATACTATTGTTATGTCATTTCTATACTTTAAAATAGGATTTTTTAAAAAAAAAGAAAGGGAATTTATTTATTTTCTACAACACGTCAATGTAATCCCAAATCCCAAGACACTGAAATTTAAATGTTGAGAAACTGACATTAGACCTACATAGAGATTTTTCTATTTAAAATTTCACAAATGTACTTGTTTTGGAGGGAGAGTGGAGACTGCAGAGCCCACGGGGTTCTACATAATCTGGAAGAGCAAAATTCTGGCAATTTTGTGATGCTACTGGGTTTTGTATAAGGCACTACTGAACAACGAAAGAGTCAGACCAAACAGGAACTTCCTGAGTATTCTGTGATGTCACTCAGGCTTGTTCTTGGAAAGGGAGCAGCGGCTTTGGTGTGTCAATCTAACTTCCATCATGGGTCCAGAGATGTAGCTATGCTCAACAGAGAGAGTACAAAATTATTTTAGGGAAAAAAAAAATCACAAAACAAACATGCATGCATGCATATATATATAAAAAACTAATCTACATAAGAAAGTACTGAATAGTACTTTCCCTTCAAAAGGTATTTCCAGTGTTTAGGCTTTAAGAGACTTCACATTTATGGTACATTCCCTTTAAAATTACTTGTGATTTTTTTTTATTTCAAATTTTTCCTGGAAAAAAAGTTTTCTTGTTTTCATAACACAATAGCAAAAATCTTTTCTTACATGTTTTTTAACCAGTATTCCTTATTAACTTTATTTCCATACAACCAGATAGGTCTTTTTAGGACTCCTCATTTCACTTTTCCCCAATTCCTTGCTGTGGTTTGAATGTGTCCCCCAAAGTTCATGTGTTGAAAACTTAGTTCCCAATGCAACAATGTTGGGAGGTGGGGCCTTAAAAGAAGTGATTAGGCCATGAGGGTTCTGCTCTCCTGAATGGATTAATTAATGTTGCTATCTTGAGAGTGGGCTGGTTATCAAGAGTGTTATAAAACTTGTTTAAAGCTTGTTATAAAGTGAGGTCAGCGCCCCTCTTGCTCCCTCGTTCTCTTAATCTCTGTTTGCCCTTCCATCATGGCATGATGTGGGAGGAAGGCCCTCACCAGAGGCAGCCCCTTGATCTTGGACTTTTCAGCTTCCGGAACTGTGAGTCAAACAAATTTCCATTCCTTATACATTACCCAATCTCAGTTATTCTGTTATAGCAGCATAGACTATATGGACTAGGACATTCCTTAATACTGACAATATATGTCACTGCTGTCTATGACTGAAACTATTAATTGGCATCAATTTATGTTATACCAAAAACAGTGTGTGAGTCCTATTTACCATTGATATAAAATTCTAGTTGCCTTATATACAAATTCCACTTTAAGATCTGTCCAAGAAGATGAACATAATTGCTTGAAGGGAAGAAATCAGTTTCTTGACTTTTTTGATACTTTGTCCTTATCACCTCTGTCAAAAGTCTAACATATCATCTGGGCATTGTGGCATGTGCCTACAGTCCCAGCTACTTGGTAGGCAGGAGGATGCTTGCATCTGAGAAGTCGAGGCTGCAGTGAGCCATGATTGTACCATTGCACTCCAGCGTGGGCAACAGAGCAACACACACTGTCTCAAAAAAAAAAAAAAAGCCTAACATGGTGCCAAATACAGCTGAACCAGAGTTTGTACAGAATGCTTTTTAATGGTTAGAAAAACTCCAACTTTCTTCAATAAAAATAATTTCTAAATATGATTCAAATCCAAATGATTAACTATATAAAAAGATATAACATTTACCTAAACGCTTTCATTAATATTTTTTAAAAAGCATTATCCCTGATAAATTGGTCTCACAAGATAATCATGTGATTAAAATATTTTGCTTTGATAATATATATTCAATAGATCACAATAACAAACTCACTGGAAGGCTTAGGAATTCATTGAAGTAGTCTACAAGAAAATCGTCTGTTGTCAGGGAATCTTCCTGCAAAAACATAAAAATACAGTATTATAATTATAATACAATGTTTTAAATCATGCCTATATTATTCTCTAATTCTGCTACTAATTTATTATTACATAGATCTTCAAAACTTTTTTAGTCAGTCAGCAGCGAACCCTCACTATAAACTGAACACAGTGCTACAATCTCTGGAAGGAAAAAGTAAGAAAACAGAAGTGAGCATATTCCTAAAACACTTTGCTACTATACTTAGTTGGAAAGCAGAACACATGAAAAATATAGCACAACACTTAAATGAAACATCAACAAACACAAAATAATACCACCACATGGTAAGTTTTACACAGACATTAAAAATATATATTTCATAAAAATAAAGCCAGGGTCAACAAGAAGCAGTGTTTGGGGCCCAAATGAAATTGAGAGTGTATATTTCTTAAATAGCCCAATGGAAGTGTTAAAGAAGTGAAGAAAATTTTCTACTGCCCCCGACCCGCAGAATGAGATAGATTTTGTAATCCAGATCCTGCTTCACTTCTATATGAGGAAACTTTGACAGTGCATGTGTTCTAAGCATAAAGATTGTATATATTTTTTCCATAACTATCTCATCCACCAACATAGCCACTTTTCAAATTGGTAAAACTGAAAACACACTGCCAACAAAAAATCTCTCTTCCAAATTGTAAGACACCTTATTTTATTAGTAATTGTTTCCATTGTGTCAAAAGCACATCATGGCATACTGCTGTATGGTACATGTGTTTATTTTGTTATTCATAATTATATTTCAATTTTCCAAATCTAACATGAAAGTCGACAATATGACACAATGCTATTATTTCCATATGGCTGCTTACTTTCTTCTTATACTGGCCAATTTAAAAAATTTATTGAACTATGTAGTGCTATAAGGAAGACACTATAGCATATTGCACCTGCTTTGGAAAGTAGATGTTCAGGGTAATTTCTTTAAGCAATTGCAGCATCAGAAGAGAGTTATAAGCACTCACTTACAGAATATCAAGAAACTACTAAAACTTTAAAATTAAAACAAAAGACTTAATTTTCTAAAAATTTCAACTGATTAAAATAACAACAAACTAAGGATTTAATAAATTTACTACCTTAGTAGTAGTACCTCAGTAGTATAAGTTCAAAGAAAGTCCTGATTGGCAAAGTCTATCTAAACAGAACAAGGTAGATATTCTTCTGGGGTAAGCTATAAGGCATTTAATAACCTACCAAACTTTACCTTTCAAAGTTAATTTAATAATCCCAACTGTAGTTAGTGAACCACCTAGATTTTGCTAATTCTTAGGAGAAAATATCTGAATTCTGGGTAGAAGGCATCATGCTACAATAAGGTTGGCCAAATTTGGCAGTACTGAATCACATGATCAAAAATCCACAGATGTATACAGTGTATATCTTAAATAATTTACAGCAGTGCAATACAATCCCTTGTTAGTTTTGCTAAAATAGACATTTCATTTTGATTTTTTAGCCATAACACAAAATACATATTTCATAGAGCCAGGTGGACCTGGCTCCACTTGGAATTAAAATTCCTTAACCTATTTCAGATAGATAACTTTAAATGAATAATTAGAAAATGAAATAAAAGATACATATTGCAATCCCAATTTTTTATTATTAAATTCAAGTACTGCCTAGAATTGCCACATTGCCTGAAATTTCTAATTTTCAGATTCATATATTCATTTCCAGATACCTTGCATTTCTAAAAGATTCTAACTCAATGAACTCTTTGAGAGGAGGTACCTGTTTTGTTTTTGTTTTTGTTTTTGTTCTTGCTTTGAGGCAAGGTCTTGCTGTCACCCAGGCCTGAGTGCAGTGGTGCGATCTGGGCTCATTGCAACCTGGGTTCAAGCAATTCTTGTGTCTCAGCCTCCTGAGTGGCTGGCACTACAGGCAAACACCAACACGCCCAGCTAATTTTTGTAGTTTTTTATGGAGACGGGGTTTCACCATGTTACCTAGGCTGGTCTTGAACTCCTGGCCTCAAGGTATCTGCCTGCCTTGGCCTCCTAAAGTGCTGGGATTACAAGCATGAGCCACCACACCCAGCCCTGTTTTGTTTTTTTCCTTAACCTATTTCAGATTGACAACTTTCAATGAATAATTAGAAAATGAAATAAAAGATACATATTGCAATCCCTATTTTTTATTATTAAATTCATCAGATATAAGTATACTTTGTCAAACTGCCATAAAGTTTCTAAAAGTTTACTCTAGATTCCTGAGCTCAGCTCATCTCACCACAGATGGATAAGCGTTCTCAGGTGGCAGCAGTTGATATTTCCTAGGCATTCAGTCATATCCTTTGGTTTGCTCTTACAAAAAACTATAAAAATCTCAGGCATTATTAAATACATCAAAATCAATATTTCTAAAATTGTGCCTTAATTTCTATCAATATTAAACTTCAGCAATTCTGTTGATACTGGGTAGTTCCACAATGGGAAATAAGTGTTACCTCCAAGTGCCATCTGCTCAACCCACATGTGGTACTTGATTGGAAAGGCCTGTCCTTCTCTTAGTAAATAAATGAACACATTTTCCCACTGCAGTTTCTAGTTCAATGTGTTCAAAATATCTTATCACATCATTAAGCAGTCTTCTAAACCCATGAGTATTTGATAAGCCCTTTAAACCACAAACCCTTTAGTTAAAAAGAAGAAAAAAAAAAAAAGGCTGGGATTACTCACACCTGTAATCCCAGCACTCTGGGAGGCCAAGGCAGGCAGATCACCTGAGGTCAGGGGTTCGAGACCAGCCTGGCCAACATGGTGAAACCCTGTTTCTACCAAAAATACGAAAAA